CTATATTCCATAGTATATTTATTTATGCCTATATGTACAATATAGCATACATGCAAACAAACATAAACATGTTATTGATTTTCTTGGTGAATGTCTGTCGTTAATGTTAAATTTAACTTTGTGTGCGTATATTAATTCCCTTTCAACATGGCCAACTGTTCTTTTTACTTACCTCTCTAGAGTGAATTTCTTTGGCATACAAAGGGAATAAGAATTCTGACTCTCCTTCCAGGCGGAGTCCTTCTTTAGTAACACGAAGATGTCCCATTCCAGTCTACCAAAAAGAAGAAAGAATGATAAGTGCTTTATTTTTACCACAGAGTTTCTTTCTTGGTAATTTCTTATACTGGATCATTAAAGAGTTATCTTTTCCCCATCACTGTTCTGTCAGTAGGGATGCCTTCACAAAAAACACTTAACAGAATGACCAGCACTTCAACATTATTACTGATTTCCAGACTTATTTCTATATCTGTAAGAACAGATAGCCCAATACAATTTAGTAATATGGTAAAATTCTTTGAGGTAAAACTCTAAAAAGCATGTGATGCAAGGAAGAAAGCAGCAGGAAGTAATTGAATGTTCAGTCTTCTAGTATTTCAGCATTGTGAGGGAGTGAAGAGGCGGGCCGGATCGGAGGCTTCCCACCCCGGCGCAGCAGCACTGAACTCACTCCCACATGCCCGGAACGCTGGGCAACCCCTTACCATCTTCAGGTGTGGGGAAGGAGGCGTGGCCCGGGTGGCAAGAACCAGCGTAAGAGGGACACCGGCGTCCAGAAGAAGAAAGGCGGAGCCGGAAGGAAGCCAGGCAGCCGCAGCGGCGAGAGGGAGCACCGGCAAGCGGAGCAAAACTGTCCGGAGGCGCTGTTGAACCTGGTGGGGTAAGGCAAAGCCTCCACAGGGCAGGGAAGCAGGGACGACGGGTCCCAGCAAAGACCTGGGCTGTGCAGTGCGGCTGAGAATGGTGGGACCCGGCAGGAGCCGGGAGCCGTATAGATTGTAATAGACGGGCACTCTCTACGGAGAAGAGGCTGTCCAGTGTCTATAAGGACTGAAAGTTGGTAAGAAGCCAGGGAAAAGGACTAAGGAGCCCTGAGAGGGTTCTAGGAAGGAGTGCTCGAGCACCCAGCAGCCGGGTAGTAACAATAGGGCACTGAGGGCAGGGTAGCCCAGTGCCCAAAATAACCCGGGTTGGAAAAACATTGATGGCATGAAACAGATATCTCAGAGTGAAAAGGGAGCTACCTACTGACGGGTTCGTTGACCCGAGACGACGACAGAAGTGGTGGTACGGGCGAGGGTGTAGGGGTGGCGGAGCCCTCACTGACTAGGGACCCCAAGAGTCCCGGAGTCTCACTTTTGGACTGATACGCGCCGGAGTAAGATCACTGAACCAGAATAACATCAAAGTTGTGGCAGGCGTATCAAGCGTGTACAGGCCGAGAGGAGGGACCCGTAGTGATTGGAAAAGCTTTGGGCGAGATGTGTGAGAAGGCGGGTACGGCATCGGATGTGTTGAGCCCGCACAAGCTTGCAGAACAAAAAGATAAGCCACTGCAAATGGGGCGTGCTACACGAGATGCCTTAATGCAACTTATCCCAGTTTACTGCACTATACTGGCATGTGTCTACATGTGCGCACCCTTGCTGTGCAGTAAAAATGGCTAATCACACCTAAATTTGATACCTACATTTGCAGGTATCACATTTACGTGCGATTAGTTAATGTACAGCAACGCACATGTAGAAATGACCTGGCACTAACTTTAGTGCCAGGACCATACAGCCACTAGGGGGTGAGCCTGAAGCCAGCCCCAGGGCTTCTGGCTGGGAGCATTTCCTGCTCCAGGACTGAGTTGCTCTCTGGCAGGCCCCAGCTACAAGGTATAATAGCCTGCAGCCATTTGTGCTTTAGGGCACACCCACCAAGGAGCCTTGGGTACCTGTTCTGTATCCAAGAGCCCAGTAGACCTTGTGTGCCCCCCTGGACAGGCTACAGGCTGCGTCTGCCTGGCCTGTCCCCTCTGGAGAGTTGCTGCTTGGCTACAGGTGGGTGTTGTAAAGGGCTACAGCTTGATGCACACCTCGCCCAGCCCTGAGATCTCCCCAGGGTTTCTCTGGCAGCAGGGCTAGCACCTGCTCCCTGCTGCTGCTCACTCCGAGCAGTATCTCTTCACAGGTGCTGTGGTGAAGTGCTTTTGCCATGTGGTTCCCAGTCCCTTGCTGTGCCTCTCTGTTGAGCACTCTTGAGTGTTGTTCAGGGCTGGCCACAAAAAGACAGTTCCTCCCTGCGGGGGAACCCTGGCCAAGTGCTGGCCTACCACATGCCACTGGCCTATCATACACTACCAGACACAGGTGGTCATCCATGCCAATGGGGAGGCCCACACCGAGACACCATCCTTACCAGCCCCAGACACGTGGTAAGTCCTGCATTGCAGGGACGGCCCTGGTCTCAGCCCCTGCCTCTGTTCCCTGGCTGTTCCACCCACATTCCCCTGGCCCTGGCCCACCCACCCCAACAGCATGCAGAGAGGCGGGACACAATTCAGAATTTATTGAGCAGCCGACGGCCCTGCAGTTGGGGGGGGGCATGGGCCTCTCTCACCCTGAGGAAAGTGTCTATGCTGGCAGCAATGTTCTCTTTGGCAGCAGGGGCCAGGGACATGTAGCACTGCCACAGATAGCCCTCCAGGCACCTGGCCCCTGGTGCAGAACATCTTATCTCTGAAATCTTCCTAACGCTCACAAAAGGCTTCTGTCCCTTGTCTCTGCAGGGCGAACATCTGGACATGGGGGAGAGCCAGCCCCAGTGGGGATGCGGGCTTGGGCCACCACCACCCGCAGCTGGAGCTGTGTGGATGTGTGCGCAACATGGACCGGACTCTCCTGCTCTGGCGGCTGGTGGTGGCGGTGGAGGAGCAGGAGGTGTGGGAGCAGGCTTGGTGGGCAGAGGATGTTTTTTACTGTTGGTAGATGGGGAGGGTGGTGGAGGAGCTCTGTTGGTTGAGTGGGGAGGGCTGGGAGTGGTTTTGTTAGGAAAATACAGTATTTTCGTTTCAACCATGTGCATGCCTTGAGAGTGGGAGTGGGCCGGTGGTAGGGGGTTGTGTGGGCAGTGGGGCAGGTGGGCTGGAGTGGGGAGTGCAGGATGAGGAAGTCAGCCAGGGCCTCCCAGACCTGGTGCCCTGCTCCCCGCTAGTGGGTGCATATCTGTCGTGGGGTCTGGGCTGGGGGTGCTGCTTGGGCCAGCAGCATGGCCAGCAGTAGTGCAGGACACTGGCCATTGCTGGCAGGGGCTGTGCTGGAGCAGCTGGGCACCGGGTGTCCACTGGCAGGGACAGAGGCAGGGGCTGGAGCAGCCATGGCACAGGGAGGCAGGATGGGCAAGAAGGGAGCTGCCGCATGCTGCCCCTGTGATAGGCACGTAGCTCCTGGGCAGGAAAGGAGCTGGCTAGGGATCAGAGTTTCCAAGATGGCTGTCAAGTGCTGGCAGCTGGGTTTGGCATCAACATGGCTGCCAGAGGCTGGCAGCCATGTGACTCATGCCAAGTCCCTGCACATGTAGACACCTGCCAAACATCCCTTACTGTTCATTGGCTTAATGCGCAGGAAACTTAAGTCGTGACTAAATGCACATATAGACATCTCCATGTATGATCAAAAGGAACCTTCAAGAAGTTCCTGAGATACCAGAAAGAGCAAAAGAGGCATACTGTCCTGCAGGACATCAATATAAGCAAGAATGGGATGAGTGGGAGGGAACACTATGGACTCTCTTTAGTGTGCCCTGTGCCCAGGGAAGACAGACCCAAGTCCTGCTAGATTTGCATGAGCTGTCTACAGAGGACAGCCCTGTCTCTGAGACCTTCTGGAGTATGATGGTTATCATAAGGCAGCTGGGAGATCCTTTCATGAATCTGAAATGCCTAGGGGGTGCCCTAGGACTTTGTTGGAGTTGTTGGAGCTTAACAAGCTCACTTTAGAGAAAAGCAGATGAATTGCAGAATATGTTTGTTCTTCCAAAAGGATCATGGTAGCACTGATTCAGAGGCCAACAGAAGACATAGTGAATAAAATCTAATTACAGGTTTTAAGTTTTAAAAATTAATAATTAAAAAACCTGTTGCATTAGACCAGATATGTAAAAGTGTGTGTTTGTGTGTGGGGGAAACCTTAGGTTAAAATTTAAAGTGACTTTGCATTATACATGCTTATGTGAACTTACTTTCTAATCATGTGAGAAATCAAGTGTCCCATACAGGAACGGTCAGATGAAGCAAACATTAAGGGTATATACTTAAGTATTTTTCCACTGATAATATATTTCAGTGGTGTCAAACAAAGTGATATTTTTTTCCTAATATCCAACCTAAATTTTCCTTGCTGCAATTTAAGACCACTGCTCCTTGTCCTGTCCCCTGAGATAGTATCCCTCTGTTGTTTGTATATCCACCCATCAGGTGACTGAAGATTACCTCTGCCTCAGTAAATCTCCACCTCAGTCTTCTCTTCTCAAGGCTCAGTAATCCTATCCCTCATATGTCATATTTCCCAGACCTCTCATCTTTTTGTATCACTCTTTGCTGGACTTTTTATAATTAAATGCAAACATCACACTACAATTAAATACACACTAAACTTTCAAAGGATATTACCATATTTACTCAACTTTAAGATGTTTTTCCCCCCAATCAGTATGGGTTAAAAATGCCCCTCATCTTACATTTGCACTCAAGAAAACCTCACTAAGTGCACTATCATTAAACTGCTGCAGTAGGTGCTTAGTAATGGAAATCAACTATAAAGCAGATTAAATGCAGCTAACATTGAGTATAACCATAAACACATGACCTGTAACTTAAAAAAAAAATATATATATATATATACTATTTTGTGTTGCAGGTCAAATCAGCCAAATCATATCAATCGAACAGAACTCAATCTTTCCAAAAAAAGTATTAATTGAGCAAGCAGAGCTCAATTGTCCTAAACACCATTGTATGGTGCTGCTACCAGCGACATCCTCCATCCCAGGTTCTCACCCTGGAACTTCAGATACTCCCAAACCCATTGGCAAGTATCCTATGTGCAGGCAAAAACCTGGAGGTCTTGGGATTTGGAAACCCCAGAAACCACTTAGCCCATAAGAGACCAAGACTTTTTAAAATTTTATTTAAATTTTTCATATGGCAAGCCAAATTAGCCAAAGCAAATTCCAATTCCATGAGTCAGTCCAGAACCATACGTGCCCTAGTACTGCCAAACATCC